AGCATCAGTTTTAATTAACTATAGTCAGAACTCCAGTTGATGAAAGTTTGTAGAACAGTCATTTGCATAGGAAGAAGACTATAGCTGAAAGTTATGCCCTGAAACTAGTGTGACTTTCGCTAATTGTATTTCAGTTTCTTTTTCTGTTAAACCAGCCATGGTGAGAACTGAGTTACATATCTTAAAAACGGCATGTTCTAAATACGGCCCTCTCAATCCATGGTACCAGATCCACAAATTCAACTGAGGATTAAAAGTATTACAAAAAAATACATTGTTACTGATGTTGTACAAGGGACTTGAGCATTCAACAATGCTGGTAACTGAGCAGGGTAGTCCTGAACCAAACCACCGAGGATACCAAGGAACCAAATATACTGTGTTGTATGTTGAATGGGAATTTGGCTTATTATATAAACTTTATTTCAAAGATGCATTGCTTCAGTTATTAACCTTAACATCCCCAATCTCGCCTAGTGTGTCAATGAATTTTCTACCAACTGACAGGAGAGCTAAAGATCAGTGAAGATGTCAGGTGGAGGATGAAAGACATGTATCATAAAGTGGTTTGTGGTGTCTCAACCCATTGTGTCAGGTCTTTGGGGGTTGGGGGATTGGTTATATTTAGTTGACTATCCAATTATCAGAATAAGGAGTATTTAATGAAAAGTGTAGAAGTGTAATTTAAAAACCTATGGCTAGAAACCACTATTACCATTTTTGTGTATATTTCAAAAACTTGCATTGATTTGATGATGTGATCCTTCTGTTCATTCTTTAGTAGCTGACCATTTCCATGTCAAATATTGTTAAACTTTGTGAAAGATTGCACAGTATACTTTTCAATTCCAAAATCCATACCAATTTCAGGCATTTCAGAAGGTTAGGGGCTCATGCACCAGAAATTGAGGCATTTTAGTTTAGCCTTTTTTTTTTCTTATTCAGAGCATAATGAAATATAGGAGTGATGGTTTTGTTTAGATTACTTAACCAAGTTCCTACTAATGGGCCCTTCTGGCTTAATACTGTGATAAATCTCGTCTACATTTGTAGGAGTGGAGTTGTATATTCAAATTTTAAAAAATACTACCAGGCCCGGCCTGAGTGTCTCTGGTTAAACTGACTGATGAAGTTGGGGCACATGCCTGGGTTGCAGGCTCAATACCTAGTAGGGGTGTGTTGTGCAAGAAGCAGGCAATCGGTGATTTTCATTGATATTTTTCTCCCCCATCCCTGTCTCTGAAATCAATAAAAGCATTTAAAGATTACTGCCCAGCTTCCAGAAAGAAGCTAACTAGCATACCTGGTTGCAAACACCAGCTTCTCTGATTAATACTGGTTATTCCTTAAATTTTGCTAATCAGGTAAGTGAAAAGTGGTGTTCAATTTTCATTTATTTGATTGCAGGTAATTGTTTTCATGTTTGTTGAGCATTTAATGTTTTTTCTTAATCTATTTTCTTTGAAGTATTGGCTTTTTTCAAACTGTAAGAATGTGATGTTATTTTTGATACATGTTGCAAATATTTTTTATCTAACTTGGTGTGGGGGGGGTTTGCAAATTTTTAATTGGAAATTCATTCCAGAATAGGATCATAAAACTTGGATAATGTGAACAATCATGAATTCTGCACATTAGAAAGAAAAGCAGGGCTCCTTTGGAGGAGGTCGTGAGCAGTGTATTGGGGTACTCGACAAAGTGTGTCATGTCAAAGAAGTTTCGGAAAAACCAAGAAACATGGGTTCACTAGAATGGAATGCCTAGCTTGGCATCTTTTCACTGGCCTCCAGCATTGGTGAGTTGTAGCTGCAGGCTATTAATGGAAATTGGGACAGGGTGGAGGGGAAAAGACGGTGAAAGAAAACTAGATAGCACTATTTTGTTTAAGACGAGCACAGGAAATAGAATCTCTGCCTCCTAGGGAAGAGGCCCCTTTCAAGGAACAACAAAGAATTTCTACACAGGGATTGGTGGTGGAGAGTCTCATGTATCCAGTACATGTGAATTTGGACGTTAAAATATTTCAGTTGAGAGAAAAGGAAATTTAATGTGTTTGGAGCAGAGATACCTGAGTTGACTTTGGATGTATATTGGGAGTGAAGATTTAAATCACTGATTTTCTTGAGGAATGAAACTGGTTGGATCTTGGTGAGCTCCACCTAGTCCTGGTAAATTAAGCAACCTGACTTGGAATCTTGTGTGGGCAGAAAGGGAGTGTGTGAAAACTACTTAGGGCAAGGACAGAACAGGGTTACCCACCCTCATTCATGGGAAGATATTTTCTCTGGCAATGTGAGCAGCCAATGTCTGGCTCAGGTATTTTTTTAAAATATATTTTACTGATTTTCCACAGAGAGGAAGGGAGAGGGATAGAGAGCCAGAAACATCGATCAGCTGCCTCCTGCACACCCCTCACCGGGGATGTGCCCGCAACCAAGGTACATGCCCTTGACCGGAATCGAACCTGGCACTCTTCAGTCAGCAGACTGACGCTCTATCCACTGAGCCAAACCGGTTTCGGCTCAGATATGTTTGTTAAGTTCTGCTACATGTATGATGGCTGTGCTGCCAGTGGACAGCAGAGCAGAAGGGGGATTTGGGATCAATGAATGCAAACTCAGTTGTCCCAATAAAGAAGTACAATTCAGCTAGACTGGCTGCTGGGACGGAACACAATGAAAGTGGCCAGTAAAATCTCTTGTTTTTTATTGATAGCCCATCAGGTATTTGGTATGATTCTGGAGAAGACTGCATGATTCCCACCTTCAAGTTATTTACAGTCCAGGGGAAGTAGACTGGGCATAATGCTAGGGGAGCACCGAGGAGGCCTCTGCATCCTTAGGAGAAGCCTTTAGGAGTCAGAGAAGTCTCCTGTTTAATTTTTTTTTTTTTTTTTTTTTTTTTTTTTTTTTAGGAAAACAAATGACTGCATTCTCTCCTTGGGTTTTAAGGGAACAGAAAGGATGTGGTGGGGAAGGGGGGAGAGAGAGAAGGGGCAGAAATAAGGGTGTGAGGAAGACGGGGAGCTAGCCAAGCCATCTTTGGAACCAAGTGGAGAAGGACAAAGTGACTTAATTTGGAAAAGTAAAAGATCAAGGAATGGAAAAACGAGTATTGTAAGAAAAGTTGGCTTCCGTTGTCAAGAGGTGTAGGTTGTCCACCTTCTAAGGAGGCATCCTTGTCTCGGCCCATTGCAGACAAATGAGGTAAACAAGCCAATTACAGAGCTGCTGAGATGCAAGGGACTACACTTGGCAGCTAAAGAGAGAAGAATAGAAATGTAAGGAAGGAAAAGCCTGGGAGAAAATATGTTGAGTCTAGAATGGCAAGAAGCATGGGTAAAGAGTTGCGCATGAACAACAGCAGAGCAATGTTTGTTACTTCAGTTGCTGAAGCTCTGAGGAATGCCTCAGTTCCAGTGGGTGGGATGGAGGTAGGAAGTAGGTTCCATGCTTGACAGGGATTTAAGAAGAAAAACTTGGACCTGAAAGTTGCTATCAGCAATTGGGCCACCAGCTTACCAGAAATGCCTACAGTGACTGGATAGAGGAGGTGACAGGCCAGGGCCACAGTAAAGTGTGGGTCATGTTCTGAATTTAATTTGTGCTGAGGAAAAGATCATTGTAGTTTTCCCCAGGAGGGAAAGCAGGAGAAAGATGACAAGAGTGTGACAGTTTTGGGTCTTTAGACCCTGAGATAGCCCTGGTCCTGAAGGCAGCCTGTGGCCCACTCCCTTTCAAGACATGTGATTTTAGAGGGGAGGCTGTCTACAGTAGCTTTCTACCATCAGGCTGCTCTGGATTCACTGAATGGTGAAGACAAAACAAACTAGCAAAGGGGGAGAAATGCATTCTTCGGTCTCCACAAATAAGGACAGAACCATTCTGGAATCCTTTTATATTGATGTTTCCCAGAGTCTTTATGTCAATTGTAAAACTAGGCTGATCTGTTTTGAAGGTTCCCCATAATTCTCACAGTGTCCATTATCTGTAGTTGTGTTGAACACAGTAGTTATTAGCCATGTGTGATTTAATGACAATCAAAATTCAGTTCTTCAGTCATATTTGGCACATTCCAAAGAGCCAACAACCAGGACAAGACAGTGAGACGTAAGACCTGGTATGTAGTAGCTGCTTTATAAACAGTTGTGTGAATAGTCCCCAGGAGTGTGCCATTGCCAGTAAGAGTTTTAGTTTCCACTCTCCAGCAAAGCCAAGAAAGTTGCGGGAACTTAGGTTGGAGTCTGTAGGACCACACAGTGAACGATGTAATATCAAGGAAAGATGAGGTATCTGGGCTAAAGCCAACTCTCAGTGCCTGAGATCACCCTGAGCTGGCTTGACTGCCCTCTAGCTGCAACCAGACCTAATGGTAGCACCAGAGGTGATGACAGCGAGCAGAGGGCTGGGTCCATGGGCCTGCTGTGCTGGTTGGGAGCACTTTGACTTTTACAAGTTTCAAGCTTCACTCAAAGCATGAGGGAACCGCACCCCATCTTCAACCGGTCCAAAGTCAGCTTCTCACCACAGGAGAAGGGGAGCGGGTGCAGGGAACTTGAGGGGAACACAGACAGGGAGATGTGCTGAGGTTCCAGTTCTTTCAGGGGCTCAGCTCCAGGAGCCTCCTGTGCAGGGAGGTAATCTATGTTGGAGGGTAAGTAGCCCTCCTGGGTGGGAAGGTAGTCCCCTGGGAGGACTCGTGAGGGGCTTGCAGGGTTTCCTGGCTTTGAGTTGGGGCTCCTGCTCCCCAGCACCTTATAGAGATCCACTAGCTGCCCTGTCTCTGCCATGAGAGCTCTTGGAGGTGGTAAGCTCGAGGCACTGTACCTTGTTTCCTCAGAGGTATAGTGACCTTGGTCTCCTTTTTCCTTCTCTGGCCAGTTGGCACGAAGGAGCTGTCTGAAGACGGGGGTCACTTGATGCAAGACTTCGCTGATGACCAGGGGCTCAGGTTCTTTCGGAGCGGGCCAGTCTGTCAGGAGCCTGTCCACGGGCAGCTGCACCTCCTGAGACGGGAGGAAGAAGCTCAGGGCTGTGCTAAGTGAGTAGCCTGGTCAACTGACTTCTCCAGATTCCAAAAGGCCTCGGCCAGCAATACCTAGTCAGCTCAAGGCGGACACTGGGCCCTTTGTGAGGTAAGAGAAGCAGCTAACATTGTCAGGGAGACAGACAGCAGGACTCCTGCAGGAGCTCCACCCCCAGCCAATGAGTGATTCACCGCCCTGCTCAACCTTCAACCAGACTGATTCTGGTGAGTCAAACTGCACTAGCTGCTTTTCCTCTGGGATCGAGGCGCACACTGTGCAAAGGAAAGGCTGAGCTTGCCTCTGTCTGGGGGAGGAGGCAGGGAAGACTATAAAAGGGTCACACTGGAACTGAATCCTGAGAAGCACAGTATTTTTTTTTTTTCAGAAAGGTTGTGAGTAAGAGGACTGGTCTATTCTGGAACCTGCTAGTTGTTAGGACAGGCAAGCTGAGGCTTTGGAAATAGGAGGGGTCACATGAAGGGCTTTTAAGGGATGCTAAGGAGTTTGGGTTTTGATACAACTACTGAAAGGTTTTAGATAATATCTTCCATCAGTTCTACTCTAAAGAATGACCCCTCTAGAATAACTTTTTGGAAGAAATTTTCATTCTTTTCCCCCCTGTAACTAACTTTCTTTTGCTTACCTTCTCAACAGCACATTGTCTACCAACTCTTCAGTGTCGTATCACTCCTGTCCAAACTTGCTGCTGATCCCTGATTCCAAGTCCCAGCCCTTTATTAACATTTATTTTAAGGGGCTTCATTGGGCTCTCCCTTGCATCCTGGAAACATCCTTCACACTGACTGAGCTTACTGAAGCAAAGCTCCGGAGCCTTTCAGGGCTTGGACTTCTATATGCAGTAAAGCTCCCAGTCTTGACCTTATCCATCAGATTCCTCCCTCCACTTCCACATGTTTTGTTCAGAAATTATTTCAGGAACACCATCCTAGTCTTAACAAACACAGTTTTTTCTCTCTATGCCACACTTGCTTCCACTGCCAGCCTCTACCGGCTTCTGTTTATGGTACCACCCCCTGCTTGACACCTTCCTCTTCCTGCTTTTCTTTTTTCAAATGTTTCTATTGATTTCAGAGGGGAAGGGGGAGGGAGAGAGGGATGGAAACATCAATGATGGGAGAGAATCCTTGATCAGCTGCCTCCAGCACACCCCTGAACTGGGGATGGAGTCTGCAACCTGGGCATGTGCCCTGACCGGGGAATCGAATCGTGACCTGCCGGTTCATATGTTGACGCTCCACCACTGAAACACACCAGCCAGGTACCTTCCTCTTTCTTGAAGCCCCTAATGGCTGCTGCCTCCACTGAATTACAGCAGGGAAGCAATCTCCTATTACGTTCTTGGCACATGGTGTCTTATACTAGTAATGTCACTTTTTAAAAACATGTCTAGCCAAAACCGATTTGGCTCAGTGGATAGAGCATTGGCCTGCGGACTGAAAGGTCTCAGGGCATGTACGTTGGTTGCGGGCACATCCCTGGTGGGGTATGCAGGAGGCAGCTGGTCGATGTTTCTTTCTCATCCATGTTTCTAGCTCTCTATCCCTCTCCTTCCTCTCTGTAAAAAAAAAAATCAGTAAAAAATATTTTTTTAAAAATAAAAAATAAAAACATGTCTAAGCATGTCAAAGCCATTTGCAAACAGAGACTAGGTCGCCAAGGGCCCACAAGCTAGAGGATATGTGTGTGTTTCTATTTTCTGGATCGCTGCCCACAGTGGTGCTGGTGTGTGGGTGTGGCTTGGAACATGGCTGGTGGTTCACAACGCAGAGCGAGCTGCTAGCGAAGATCACACAGGGTGTGGAAATGGCGCCTATTACAAGGTGAGGTGTTCACCTGCCTTCCTAAAAGCTTGGGCAGTGTTAATAGAGCTGTTCCTTGATAACGCAGGCTCTGTGGCGGATAGTCTGGGGCAGGGCCTTTTATACCATTAATAGCTCAGGTGCCTCCTGGACACTATTTTAAGATTTTATAAGCTCCAAATGGATTAGCATTCCAGTGATCCCCTTTATGGTTTGGCTTTTTTTTTCACCAGAGCTTTAAGACATTTTATTTTATTTATTTATTTTTTTTAGCCACGTTAAGAAATGATAGGGGCATATAGGGCCTGAGGACAGAAAACATTTTGTTGGAGTTGGAAGACAGACTATTGTAGTTCTGACATCTGCCAAATCTGTCAAATGTCAGAGTGATCTGGTCTGGATTTGGTCTGTCACCAGGAGAGCAGTTTGGGTCTTTAAAGCCAGACTACTCACTTCAAAGGTCAAGTGACACAGGGCTCTGAGGCTGTCTCAAGACCTTCATTACAGATGCTATGTACAAGCTAAATTTTTACAGTTTTCTAACATCTGATTTTTATAAAAGATATATAGCTTTATAAGAAATTTTAAAAATTCAAAGGAAATTTATAATGAAGATTAAGTCGCCCTCATATTTCCAACCCCTTCCCCAAAGGCACTCGGGTTATCAATTTTACATGTAGGCTTACAGAAATAGCTGTGAATGTGGGGAGGGGTGTGTGTCCTGGTTTAAAATCTCTCTCCTTTTTATGCAAATAAGAATCCACTTTAGAAACTGTTACAAACTTTCCTTTTTTCACTTTTAAATATCTTAGAAATTTTTAGACACATATCTTTTTTTAAAAATAATTGTATAATAGCCTGCTGTATGGATATACTCAAAATATTCAACCTGTCCTAATGGCAGCTTACTTTATGCCCAATTTTTGGCTTCTATTTCTAGTGCCCTAATGAACATATTTATACTATACAACTTTGGCTATGTGTGTGGCAATTTCTGTTACCCATTTCCCGTGTTACTTTAACCTTTGTGTGTCTGTCTTAGCATTTCTTGTAGGATTTTTATGGACTCTTGTCATGCACACAACCCCAAAGCTACCAGCTCGGAAGCCAGGTGTCTGACCAGAGCTGCTTCCCACCATGCTATTTCAGGCTTTTGGGACATGAGACTGGTGTCTCAGCATTGGACGAGAGTGATCTTTAAGCTAAGCTGGTTCAACTCCTAGTCCTTGAATCCCCTCTAATGCTGACAGCAGCATCCTTACAGACTGCATTCCACAGGTCATCACAGTATTGCCGCTAAGTGAGGACCTCTCAATTTATTCAGCTCAGAGGCGCTGACTTTGAGAAAGACTCCCCTCATACCTAGTACTTAAATATCTTTTTGAAGGAATAGTATAGTGGTGGATGGCACATCCTGCTTTTATGTGGATTTGTGATCCACTATTTATTAGCTGACTAATGCTGGGCCAGTTACTCAGTCCTCCATGTCTGTTTCCTCATCTGAAAAATGAGGATAATAGCACACCTTCATAAAGCTATTGTATAGATATATGTTAACACATGAAAAAAATTTTTTTTAAAGTGCCTGGTATATATAAAATAATATATATGTATATAAACAATATAATTATATACCCTACTATAATTATATATCATGCAGATGATATATGTGAAAAATATATACATAAAATTTAAAAGTATACATAACCTATTGCTATTATTACTGTTCTTGCTATAACAACAGTGGTAAAACCCCTCAACAGACAGAAAAGACATCAAGTATGAGTCTTGCTGGGAAGAAAGTGAATGAATGGTCTTTGTTTTATTTAAACCAAGTGCTTTACATTAAGAATAATTTTTACTTTTCTTATCCTCATAACAGTACACATGGGAGATACTATCAATTCTACATTACAGGGGGTAAAACTAGGGCTCAGGTGTTAGGCAAGTTGCCCAAGGGTTATCCACATAGTAAGGAACAGAGGTGGGGTTTGCATCCCAGCCTTATCTCGAAGGCACTAAATTGCAGGGACAGATATCCTATTGAGGCAGACATAGCTGAATCCAGCTCTTTCCCTGAGCAGCAGCCAGTACCATCGGCTTCTGGCCTGAGGAAGGTTATGGATAATAGAATACACGGGGCATTTGAAGAGAAGAATCTTGGAGGAGAAGGGCTATAAGGTGTGAGAGTGTGGGGCTGCCAACAACCTGGGCCTGGGAAGAACATTTGCATACCGCTTTTCTCCCCTCTGCCTTCCATAAATGCACAGTGGTGCTCCTTATTCAGATGTCTTAAGCTTCCAGACCTTCCACCAGAGATGGACCATCTGGCCCACCAGGAGCTGTTCTCACCACCTCAGACTGCACAGCAGTGCCTCCCTTTGCTTCCTCTCTCATCTGCCAGCTGAGCAACCTCTCTCCTAAAATCTTTTCCATACACAGGGGGATAACTTACTGACTTCCTGCTAAAACCAAAATAGTCTGGGTTCTATCTGTTCTATGCTAAGATGGGGCTGGGAACAAACATTATGGTAAAGCTTCAAATCTCAAATTCGAATGAATCAGTGTCAGGTTAGGGGTAAGCAAATGGCAAAAATACTTGCTTTTAAAATTTCTTTTAAAGTAAATTAAGGTGGAGTAGGGGAACATAGGCATAGAGAGGAATGAAAAGCAATCAGTCTGAGTTTAGGTTATAACCTTCAGAAAACTCCCATCAGGGCAGTGATGACTCAGATGGTAACCTAGTGTGAATGACTTCAGTTTATTCACGGATTCCAAGTACCCTGGTTTCCTCTTAACGGCAATGGGAAACTTATATATGCTCATGTTTAGAACCCCATCAACTGACCCCTGAGGCTTTATACCTTACCTCCACAATGGAATAGTTCTTGGCCCAAGTGCTGTTCGCTGGATCTGGAATTTCTCTGTTACACCACTGAGGTCTCAGGGCTGACAGGAGAACAGACAACCTATAGATATAGAACACACTGACATTAGGTTAAGTGAATACATGTGACATGGAAGCACGGGTTCTTAGCACAGTGATTTCAATGCAGGGGTATGCAAATAACTGAAATGTAAACGCTGAAGGAGAAAAATGATGCATCATCTAAGGATGGACTAGTTTTCTGTGAAGTTTGGATAGGTTATAGAGTCACCATCAGTCACTGGGGTTTGTGATGGCACTTTTGCTCTGTAATGTCACTATGCAGCCACGCGTTTATTCAACAAACATTCACTATTGACCAGCACAGTGCTGGGGTAGAACAGCAAACAAGAAAGCATGGTCCCTACTCGTGGGAGTTTTCTAATCATGTAACTACAATGTTTATAAAGAGTTTGTAATAAGTAAATTATGCTAAAAGAAAGAAAACAAACAGGATACAAGTGATATAAATAACTTAAAATAGACCATGCAAAAAAATGCCAAGAAAAATACTATAGAGAAACATTCAAACTGTTAAGAGTACTTGTTTTTGGTGATCAGAGGAAATATGGCTTTTTTGTTTTTTTCTTTCTACATCTCTAGGTTTTTTTCTTTCTACATCTCTACTTTTATGATGTAGGAGGAAAAAATCCTTTAAATTGTTTCTTATAAATGCACATGGTTAAATATTTTGACTATATTTTTTAAAAATTCAAGACCAATATGACATCTTTAAAACCTTAAGCTTTGATGTTTAATAAGAATGGTAAGCTCTGGAATGTGTTTAGCCCTTTGAAACAAAAGATGTGGCCATATGACTAGTTTTTCTCCAAAGAAATGTGAGCAGAGGTACTTGCGACCTAGGATAGATCATGCAGATGAGGACAGTGCCCAAAGGGTGGTGGGCCACAAAAGTGAAATAAAACGGGTCCCTAAATGACCCAGTGGAGCAGAGCTACCAACCAACCTGGATGACTTATCTCTTATATGGGAGAGAAATAAACTATGCTATTAAAGCCAGAATATTTGGGGCCTTCCTTCCTTCTCTTCTTTCCTTTCCTTCCCTTTCTTCTTCTTTTTTTTTTTACAGAGAGGAAGGGAGAGAGATAGAGAGCTAGAAACATCAATGAGAGAGAAACATCGACCAGCTGCCTCTAGCACATCCCCTACTGGGGATGTGCCTGCAACCAATGTGCATGCCCTTGACCGGAATCGAACATGGGACCTTTCA